TTATGTGGATGATAATCCAATAATTATATGACTAAACAAAAGAACTCCCAGATGGAATAGGTGGAGAGCTAATGAACTTATTATAAGAAGATATTAAACGGAAGTGTTATCAGGAGCTGCTTCCAAACAATTTAACTCCTGATGCTTCCTTGTTTACAAAATTAAATGTTAGTGAAGCATTTATGAGAGATTTCTTCATTTCTCTGGCACCAAATGGAAAGAAAACCATGTATAAACAAAGGACTGCACAAAGAATAGAAGAATTATTACTTTTAGTAATAAAATTAATGATAAAAGAATGAAACATGATTTTACAATGAAAGAAATAATACAATAATTTGGGAATTATTATACTAGATTATGTAATAAATAGACAACAGATCTGGAAGAAATTAAAGAATATTTAAATAATACATTACTTATAAAATGTATAGATCAGCAAAAAAAAAAAGAAGAAGAAGAAGAAGAATTTAACCCACCTATAGATGATGACATGATTTTATTTATTTATTTATTATCAAATTTATAGACCGCCCTTCTCCCGAAGGACTCAGGGCGGTGTACAGCCAAAGTAAAAAACATAGATGCAAACATTAAAAACAATTTAAAAAGATATATATAAATTTGGCCCCAAAGTTAAAAAACAGTAACAAAACATATTAAAACATTTAAAAAGCATTAAGTCAGCCTGGCTTGCTGAAAAAGGAAGGTCTTCAGGGCACGGCGGAAGGCACCGAGGTCTTGAATTCTTCGTATCTCTGGGGGCAGTTGATTCCAGAGAGCAGGTGCCCCCACAGAGAAGGACCTCCCCCTGGGGGCCACCAGTCTACATTGCTTGGCCGATGGCACCCTGAGGAGGCCCTCTCTGTGGGAGCGCACCGGTCAGTGGGAGGTCGTTGGTGGCAGCAGACGGTCTTGAAGGTATCCAAGTCCTATGCCATGGAGGACCTGGATACCTCCATGGAGGAAATTTTAAAAGTGGAACTGAATAATGCTCCAGGAGCTGATGGAATTTCTACAATATATTATTAGACATTACAAGAAAAGTTAACCCAATGAATGAAGGAAGGAAGGAATGAAGGAATGAAGGAATGAAAGAATGAAGGAATTGTCAATTCCAGTATGGAATTCTTTGATAAGGAAAAAAGCCTTTATCAGTTTAATTTATAAATAAGGAAAAGATTGGCTCTACAAACCTATTTGTTTACTGAATATAGATTATAATTTTTCTTAGAAATATGTAATGCAATCTGGGAAAAACCTTGGAAGACTGGTCAAAGATATGTTGTCAAGGAAACAGTCAGGTAAGGGACAGCATAGCCCATAGCTGAATAGTGAATGCTAGGGCATCTGCCTTAACCTTAACATAAGGAAATATCTATTTTAAAAGAACATAAAAGGAAGGAAGGATTGCACAATGGAGGATGTTCACACTGATACAGCAAAAACTATTGTAATAAGTCAATGCATTCCAGTCTATTGATAATGATTAACTAGACTGTTAAATCAAAAAACTTATAAAAGGGGGGCAGAGAAGCAGTCCCATTGTGACCATCCATCCAAAGCTAATCAACAATTTTGTATTGAATAAATATATTTCCTTTGACCTCTACTGATCAACAGTGAATTTTACCGAATTCTCGATTTAGGAAATGACTCAAAGGGAAAAGGTGCCTGATTCTTCTGACAAAATGTAAAAAATAATTTCAGATTTAAACAGTGCATAACAACATATCCACATCTGTGTATTAAATTACAAAAAATGATCTCAAGCAAGCATGAATATGTACCACACAAACCTCACCAAAGCAAGCAATTGGTTTTGAAGTGTGCTAAAGTATCTGTAAGAAAAAAGTGAGTTTAGAATTCATTGCAGTGAAGCTGAACTAATCTTTGCTTCCATCTTCACTGGAGACAAATTACAACAGACCTTGACTCTGAGCTCCCATTCTTAGGGAATCAGATTAACTGAGCCATATAGATAAGAGAAGACAAGAAGTTGGCCTTATTGGCCAACTGAACTAGGTCCTAATAACATCCGCCCAAGGTTTATTAAGGAGCTTATAACTGAGATGTTAGATGTCCTAACCCAGAGGTGTCAAACTTGATTTCATTGAAGACCGCATCAGAGTTGTGTTTGACCTTGGGAGGCCAGGGTGCGCATAGCCAGGGTGGATGTAGCTAGCTCGATCTCACTCATATCAGGGGCCACCTGTGGTGGCCAAGTGCTAAGGCAGGACTTCCCCCAGACCCTACCTTAATCGTATTATAATCTCCTTCCTTCCTTCCTTCCTTCCTTCCTTCCTTCCTTCCTTCCTTCCTTCCTTCCTTCCTTCCTTTCTTTTTCCTTCCATCTTCATTTTTCTTTCTTCTTTCTTCCCCTTTCCTTATTTTTCCTTCCTTGTTTTCTTCCCATCTTCCCATCTTTTTCTTTGTCTTTCTTCTTTCCCTTTCTCCTTTCCTGTCCCCTCTTGTTTTGTATGCTCAAATGCAAAAGGGGAAACATTTCTTCTTTTGTTTTCTTTTTAGTTTGTTTTTAGCCCTCTGCCAGCAAAAATGGAGCCCGGGATGGCCACATGCAGCCCACAACGACCCTGTTTTCAGCTGTGATGTCCTCCTCCAGCCCTCTACCAGTGAAAACAGAGTCCGGGACACTGCACACAGCACTCCTGAGCTCCATTTTCACTGACAGAGGCACCATGGGCTAGTCCTTTTTTATTTCCAGATTGGCCTCGCAGGCCAGATCTAAGCACCCATGGACCAGATCCGGCCTACAGGCCTTGAGTTTGATACCGCTCTCCTAACCAAATATGCAACCTGTTTGTATATTAGCCTCTGTAGTTGAGGACTGGAATTGGCCAATATAACTCCAACTTTTACAAATAACCTATGGAAAAATCCAAGAAATTAGGGGCCCATCACCTTAACATATGTTCCAGGGAAGATAGTGGGAACTTCTAATAAAGATTAAATTATCAAACATTTGAAGTCACAGGCCTTTCTCAAGGGTTAGGGTATTGAATGAGGCTTCACTAGACAAAGATCCTGTCTAACTACTAGAGATTTCTGAGAATATTAATAAACATATAATATTAATAAACATATAATATTATATTTGTATATAATAATATAATATATATAATATAATATAATATAATATTTTTATATTATAATATAATATTAATAAAACATATAATAAACATGGGAGATACCATTCAAAGTGAATGAGTGTAAAGTGATACACATTGGTGCCAAAATCTGATTACTCATACAATCCAATGGGATCGGAGTCATCAGTGGCTGATGATGAAGCAATGATAGGTCATGGGGATCAATGGCTACTAGTCTTGATGGGAGTCTGACTGCCTCAAAAGACCACTCCCTAAGAGACTAAAGGGCTTCCTGGTGCAGTTGGTTGCCCATTGTGAAAACAGACTGTTGGACTAGATGGCTCAGGATTGAAATCCATCAGAGGATTGTTTATGTTCTTATTTAATAGACTTTACAATATATTGATAAACAATTTTGCAAATATAAATAATTTGATAGGAACAAGGTATACATGATATCAAAGTTCTAAATGTCTTCAATCTATACCTTCTCTTAATTTATGGGATTAATAATCACACTGGTTCAAAAATATTGGGATAGTTAGAATAGTGGCTGAATGTATCATCACCTTAATGATGTTTCATTCATTGAGTGTTACCCTCAATTCTTCCTGCATCACATCTATTAGGCTTCACATTAGGCTTTCCTTAGCAGGAAAGGATGGTTTTCTAAATAATTCAACTCCCAGTCCATTATCTTAATCTGAGTTGACAGAACACTCACTAACATCACCTGGCTACATTCAAATTTTCATTGCAGATAAAAATGAAGCTTCACAAAAAAAATTGCTATTGAGTGCAATCGGAAAATATTGCAAACTTTATATTTGTGGAAGGGAGCCAAAGTAGCAAAAGTGCTCCCTTTTCCATTTGTTTTTATCAGTAAGATGGCTAGAATATATTTTTGACAAATAGACCTTCAATCAATCAATCAATCAATCAATCAATCAATCAATCAATCAGATTACCTTTAAAATGAAAATAATGCCTCTTTTATTCTATCCCATAGCACTAGAAAAAATCCAAGTGATTCCTATGGTGGGGGGGAGCAAAACCAACCCACATATTTGACCTCATCTAGAATATTTTCTGAAGCTTATTGAAGATATAGATAAGGTGGATGCAAGGAGTTATGTTGTTTCTATGCACATGCCTGAAGAATGTAGTTCTCTAAAAGGGCTATTTATGATAATCCATAATGCATCACCACTATTTAGTGGCCAATTTCTATCATAAGCCATTCATTCATATACTGGGATTTTGCTTCATAGGAGAACATCTAAGAAAATCCCACTATATCAGAGTGATCCAAGCAAAGAGAAATTACACCTCAGAAAACAATGTGGTGACAGAAATAACAGATCAAGCAGAAAATGGAAAAAAGGCCCCACTTCCTTCTCAGTTGATTGGGCAGAAATGGGAAATTATCTAGAATTGTGTGAAAATATCAGCTGAATAATTACTCAAGGAGATATGTCCTGTTGCTCTTTGGATCCAGAACATTAATGGACTAAATTATTCCATTTTCTGGATTCCTTATCTGAAATCTTGTTAACAAACAAGAGGATTTCATAATCCAAAAGGTGTTTCAAGTATTGGATTGCTGGGCAGTTCAAAGAAGTTTGAATCTGTTTTGCAATGCCTTCATTTAAGGATAAGCACCACCCACACCATAAGAGAGCGAATGGTAAACAATCAATTATAAATCAAATTCCTAGGGAGGAGATAGAAAACCAAGGCAAGGTTGGAAGTGATTTAGCATAAGGGGCAGTCTGATGATTCAGTAGAAACACTAGCTGAGTTTCTGCGTAGTGCAATAGTTTGAATGTTTGTATTATTTCAGTTTGCAGATTTCATTATAATTGTTACTGAAAACTGCTTCTGAAAGGAAATGGCTTGGATTGGACTTGTTTTATTATTATTACTATTCATTCTTACAGTTTTATTCCTTTTCAAAATGAGTAGTTCCCAGAGTTACAGCTCCCAAAAGCTTCCACCTGGACCCAGGACAATACCCATTTTGGGAAATCTGCACATAATGGATTTCAAGAGGCCTTTTAAGACAATGATAAAGGTAAACCTGATGATTAACAACTATGAATGTTATTTGCCAAAGTGTACTGATGTTGATATAAAAGTTTAGCAATTTATCCGGTTATCCAGTTAACTGGAAGAGATTGATATGCTCCCTGTTGGTTTTATGGAGTCTATGGAAATGTATAAAAAGGACGTTAACTTGGTGTTTGCATTTGTTTATATATGCTGCAAGGATTATACAAACAAAAATATTTGTTAATAGGATTTTTTTAATTGTTTATCTGAATCTTGAAAGGGTGATTGAAATTGCCTATGACGATGTAGAGGAAGGAAAATGTAAAAATCTTACATTGATATCTGTATTAATATAATAATCTGTAGGTTAACATATTTTAATAAGATATATTCTTAGTGAAATGCCCATTGTTCAAAAACTTTGGCTGTTATTTCCTGTTCCAGAGAACTTTTCCAAATCAGCTGAGTGAAAAACATACTTTTGAATCTTATTCGCAGGTTTTTAATTCCAGCTTAAATATGACAAGGTTCAAAGAATTAAAGGTCTGGAAATATCTTCCCTCCCCCCGCCAAGAATTTGCAGCCTGCTTTAAAATTTTGAAGATTTTACAAAAGTGTATCAAATATGTGGAAAAAAATAATAACTGTCAGTATTTTTAAAATAATTACATGGGGTTTTGCAATAGATTTCTTTAAATTCTGATATATTTAAAATAAATTCAAAGCTGTTGCAATTATATAGAAGGAGATGAGATTGTTGCTCTTATGCATATTAATCTATCACATGTCAGATAGATTACATGGTAAAATAAGAGAATATGTGATAAATGGTGTCATTACAGACTGCATTAAAAAAAATCCTTCGTCCATTGATAATATCAGTTCATTGCTGAACATGTGAGGTAGTTTAAAGTTCCCATTTCTACAGCATAAATGGAGACATTTGTAAACAGGATTATTGGGAAGGAATGAGTGGTAGACATAATGTTTCAAGACAGAAGCAAATATATTGATAAAGTACTCCACGTCATTTTTAAGCGAATCCCTGTTTTTGTTGTAAGTAGCTAATTCTTCCAAACCATTTGGATTGGAAGACCGCTATCAGCTCTGTCTTGTCCTTTAGAATTAAAGAGATATGCTAGCAACCTTCAGTAATAATGAAAGACAGTAGAGAGGGTTCTGCAGCAGCTGAGGAAAATAACATACCACATCAAATCCAACATAAATGAATAATAACGTAATGAATATGTGGTACTTGAAGAACAACTCTGTAGCTTGGAAGTCAGACTTTCCCTGCTTTAGGAGGCGATGGTGTCAGTCTTTTCCTGTCACATTAGGAAAGATTACAAAGCACCAGAAGTTTCCTGATTTAGACACAGGAAGGATCTGGGAATAACTGCTGGCATTTTATTTTATAGGCATTTCTTAAAACTGTTTCATTTTCTTGAGGTGTTAGCGCTTATGCACAGCTGAGCAGTCAATGTGCCATGTTGCGTGCAGTGGATCAAGAATGGTGTTGCATGGAGGGATAGAAATTAATATATCAGAAATTGTTATTATTGAAAATGTTCCTCCTGCATAGCTAACTTCTTTAAAATTTCCAAAACGTGACCAAATTCTGTCATGAGTATCCAATGGACAATACTATTTGTATGCTTGTTTTGTTTTGTTTTTTTTAAAAAAACAGTATAATAACTTAAAACACAAAAGAAAGGAAGAAATACTTCAATCTCGGATTTGTGAGACATGACTTGTAACAGAATTTTCCTTATGTGAGACTAATTGTGGATCAGAACTGCCTCTCATTTTTCATCTGCTGAATTCCAGTTGTCAAAAGAATATGGTTCCGTTTTCCGTCTTCAAATGGGATGCCAGGAAATGGTGGTGCTGACTGGCTATGAGACGGTCAAAGAGGCTTTGGTGAACCAGGCAGAGGCATTTGCAGAGAGAGCTATTGTCCCCATTTTTGAGGACTATGCAAAGGGTTTTGGTAAGTTGTTTATAACCACCCCAATGATGCCCTTGATGTGATGTCCCGCTGCCTGGAGGCCGTGCGGGTCTGGATGGGGAAAAATAGGCTCAAGCTCAACCATTCCAAGACTGAGTGGCTGTGGCTCCCAGCGTCCTGGTATAGTCAGCTGGTGCCATCGCTGACTATTGGGGGTGAATCTTCGCCCCCCACAGAGAGGGCCCACAATCTGGGTGTCCTCCTGGACTCACAGCTGTCTTTAGAAGAGCATATGACGGCCATAGCCAGGGGGGGCTTTTTATCAGGTTCACCTGATCCGCCAGTTGCGTCCCTTTCTGGACTGGGACAACTTGCACATGGTCACTCATGCCCTTGTCACCTCCCGTCTGGACTATTGTAATGCTCTCTACATGGGGCTCCCCCTGAAGAGCACTCGGAGGCTCCAACTGGTCCAGAATGCGGCCGCGTGGGTGGTTATGGGCACACCTCGTTACGCCCATGTAACACCTCTCCTGAGCGAGCTGCACTGGCTCCCAGTGGTCTTCCAAGTGCAATTCAAGGTGTTGGTCACCACCTTTAAAGCGCTCCATGGCATAGGACCAGGATATCTACGGGACCGCCTTCTGCCACCAACAGCCTCCCACCGACCAGTTCGCTCCCACAGAGAGGGACTCCTCATGGTACCGTCGGCCAAGTTATGTCAGCTAGTGATACCCAGGAGGAGAGCCTTCTCTGTCGGAGCTCCTGCCCTTTGGAATGAATTGCCCCCGGATATTCGTAACATATCTGACCTCCGGGTCTTTCACTGTGCCTTCAAGACCCTACTGTTCCGACAGGCGGAGCTGTCTAACTGAATGATTTTAAATTGGGTTTTAATTTTGGGTTTTAAAATTTGGCCAAAACTATTTAATGATTTTAATTAATTTTAACTATGATATTGTATATTTATATTTTAATTCTGGCTGTACACCGCCCCGAGTCCTTTGGGAGAAGGGCGGTGTATATATAAAATAATAATAATAATAATAATAATAATAATAATAATAATAATAATAATAATAATAATAATAATAATTGTCATTGTCGTTGTTGTTGTTGTTGTTGTTGTTATTATTATTATTATTATTATTATTATTATTATTATTATTATTATTATTATTATTATTATTATTATTCTAGATTGCAGGTGATGCTCCTTGCAAAGCTCTAGTCAATATTATGTACAACTCACTCGGAAATACGATGAAAATATGATGGTAATAAATGGTAGTAAACAGTATTAAAAAAGAACATTTTTCAACCAATGCCTGCACTTACACCCAAACTTCTTGCACCAAACTAAGAGTAATGCTGGTGTTGCTGCCCAAGAGAACTTTATCTAAAGGAGATTTATTTTATTTTATTTTATTTTATTTTTATACCGCCCTTCTCCTACTGGACTCAGGGTGGTGAACAGCCAAAAATAAAAACATTCACATACAAAATTTAAGATTAATTTTAAAAGAATTAATCAAGTTTTGGCCCGATATAAACTTTAAAACACCCCAACTAAAATCAATTTATAAATTAAAAATATCTAAAAATATCTAAAAATATCTAAAGGGGGGGGGGTGGTCAAGCTAACCCAGCTTGATGAAATAAAAATGTTTTAAGGGCACGGCGAAAAGCACAGAGATCTGGGATCCTATGTATCTCCGAAGGCAGGTTGTTCCAAAGGACAGGTGCTGCCACAGAGAAGGCCCTCCCCCTGGGGGTTGCCAGCCGACATTGCCTGGCCGACGGCACCCTGAGGAGTCCCTCTCTGTGGGAGCGTACTGGCCAGTGGGAGGCTATCTGTGGCAGAAGGCGGTCCCGTAAGTACCTAGGCCCTAAGCCATGGAGCTCTTTAAAGGTGGTAACCAACACCTTGAAGCGCACCCAGAAGATCACCGGGAGCCAATGCAGATGGCAGCAACCAGTATCTTTGCAGCTCTTCTTTCTCTCCCCCCTCCCTCTGTGACTCCCTGTGTGTCTCATGGTTTGTTTAGCAACCCTGTCACATAGCAACCTTTTCCCCAGAACTATTTACAGTTGATGAACAAGGATTACATATAGAATGTTTCCTCTGAAGTTTTCATAGAAGAGAATTTGGACAGCTTCTGGAAATCACAACAGATTGATTTGACTTAAACCCTCAGTGCCAACAGACAGAGGCATCCAGAGAACAAAAGATATAGCAATTTTTTATTTATTAAATTTAATGGCCACCCATCTTACTACAGGATAACTCTGTAAGGAATAATTGTACTAACAGTAAGAATCCAATCCTTGAACATGTTTGTTTTACTTGTTTGCAAATTTGGGGTGCAGGAAACCCCAGTATCATGCATGCATTGTTCTTCATTTGCCCCAAATTATGGTACCTGAGAATTTGCACAGCCAAGTCAGTAGTAAATGTTGAAATGAGCTGGTCCACTGTCTAAGGAAAGAAGGGTGGGTGGGTGTTCTCCCAGAGTTCAATTTGGATTATCTCCTATTATTTCTCCTTGCAAGACACACCAGGGGTATTTTTACATGCTGAACTGTAATCCTTACTCATCATAGGCAGTTTAAACTTTAAACTTCACACTTAAGTAACCACCTGATGAGAGCATGAACACTGCATTTGCTATGCTAATAAACAGTAATATTAAATAAACACTTTCCATACCCTTCAATTTTTATTCTCTTCAGACATATGCATTATAATGGTGGAATTTTCCTGGTTCAAACTGATCTTCAACTTGAACTCTTATTTCTAATTTGACCTCTTATTTATTTCTCCAGGTATTATTTTTGCTCATGGTGAGAACTGGAGAAAGATGCGGCAGTTTTCAATATCTGCATTACGGGATTATGGAATGGGCAAGAGGATTGTTGAAGACAAAATCAGTGAAGAGTGCAGTGTCTTGATAAAAACATATGAGACATATGAAGGTGAGTTGGTATTCCGTCCTACAGACTTACCAGTTATCTTTCAAGACAATCTATGTATAGAAGATCTAGAGGAACCTTTTCAGAAAAATATGCCAATAACTGTTATTTATGACAAATTGTTATACTAAATTAGCTATTGAAGTTTACAGAAGGATAAATTGTTTCCAATATGAGCACTGCTGTTGTGTATGAAAAGGTGTTAGGAATTGGACTTACTTGTTCCTCCAGGCTTTGAGTCAGTGATACTCATGTTATCCAATTAAGTAGAATAAATTAAAAACCTAAGCACTAATCCATCACCATTCACCAAAATTCTTGGCTCTACAAGTGATCCACTTTCCTGTGCCCTCTCATTCATTCCCACCCAGGCATTCCTGTCCTTTAACACTCTCCCTATCACAAGATCACATTGAGATTATTGCACAATTTCCTCTTAAACTCATGGCTCAGAATTCTATTATCTTCATTCCGTGGAACATAATATGCAACTATCACCAATATATAAACTCCTATTTTGATCCCACATGTCAGGCATACCAAATTTTGAAAGAATGAAGCATGAATATGGCTAATAAAAATTATCAACATCTTTCTCTGTATTTAATGAAATTATTATGGTAGCTTCTACCTTAATACTACATTTTTTTTTCTCATTAACAATTCATTGCTTGCAATGAATAAATATTAAATGATCATGATGCATTACACTTGCCAAAACCTTTCTGGAGTCAGCAATATTTCTATATGTTGTTTGGAAATACATTGGTCACATCATCATCATCTGCTTTAGGAATTAGGTAGTGGAAACTGCATTAAGAAAGAGTGACAAAATAGTGTCTGCAAAATCTTCTGAGAAATATTCTTATTTATTCTTATTTATTTATTTGTCAAGCATATATAAGATAACAGAGTAAGAGTAGAAAGGAAAAGGAATTAAGACAGGGATGGTAGGCATGCTGGTGCACTTATGCACGCCCCTTATAGGCCTCTTAGGAATGGGGTGAGGTCAACAGTAGACAGTTTAAGGTTAAAGTTTTGGGGGTTTGGGGAAGAAACTACAGAGTCAGGTAGTGCACTCCAGGCATTGACCACTCTGTTATTGAAGTCATATTTTCTGCAATCGAGCTTGGAGGGGTTTACTTTGAGTTTGTATCTATTATTTGCTCATGTATTGTTGTGGTTGAAGCTGAAGTAGTCATGGATAGGTAGGACATTGTGGTAGATAATTTTATGTACTACACTTAGGTCAGACTGAAGTCTGCGTAGTTCTAATTTGTCTAAGCCCCAAATCTGAAGTCTGGTGGCATAAGGTATTTTATTGCGGGTAGAGGAATGGAGGACTCTTCTCATAAAATATCAATTGTATTTATATCCAATATGCAGTGCAGGTTCCAGACAGATGAGCCGTATTCGAGATTTGGTCTAGCAAATGTTTTTTATGCTCTAGTTAGTAATAAATATTACCAGAGAAGAAGTTACACAAGATTAGGTTAAAAAACTCTTAATGCCTTTTTGGCAATGTTGTTACAGTGGGCTCTGGCACTTAGATCTTTAGAAATGAGTACTCCAAGGTCCTTGACAGAGTGAGGATCATCTATAAGGTCATGTGCATCTAATTTGTATTTTATGTTTTGATTTTTTTTTTTTGCCAATGTGCAAGACAGAGCATTTGTTGGTTGAGATTTGAAGCTGCCACTTGTTAGACCAATCTGACACATAGTCAAGGTCTTTTTGATGGGTAGTTGCATTGTCGGTGGTGTTGAATAGTTTAACATCATCAGTGAAGAGAACACAGTTGCTTTTAATATGATCACAAAGGTCATTTATGTAAAGTATGAAGAGTGTTGGACCTAAAACAGTGCCTTGGGGAACACCACTATTAACAGGTACAGGATTTGATAGAGCACTTCCTGTTTTGACCACTTGTTGTCTATTTGACAGGAAGGCAGTTATCCATTTATGTAGGAGTCCAGAAATGCCATAGGATTTTAGTTTTAGAAGTAATTTGTCATGTACCACTGAATCAAAACCGTTACAGACGTCTATGTAAACTGTGTCTATTGCTTTGCTCTGATCAAGATGTGTAGTCCAAGAGCAAAAGGCACAGATTATTATTAATGGAAGCTTGACAACAGACTTTAATATTGAAAAAGGAACAAGACAAGGTTGTCCGTTATCCCCATTGTTATTTATTTTAACACTAGAAGTCTTGTTGAATACAATACGGGATTCGAATATCTTGAAAGGTATAGTGATAAGGCAAGAGGATTACAGAATAAGGGCATTTGCAGATGATCTGGTTGTTACCCTAACACAGCCGATGGAATCAATAATCCAGATGAAAGACATTATAAAAGACTATGGCACAGGATCAGGATTTAGACTGAACCAGAAAAAAACCAAGATGATAGTTAAAAATATGACACAAGATCGAAAACACGAACTTGAAAGGAGGGCAGGTTTTGAGATTGTACCTAAGGTTAAATATCTAGGAGTTCAGGTTGCAGAATCAAATATGAAATTGTTTCAAAATAATTATGATGTGTTGTGGCGAGATATACAGAAAGATATGGAGACTTGGAAAAAACTGCAGCTGTCTTTACTTGGAAGAATAGCAGCAGTTAAGATGAATATTTTGCCAAGATTTCTTTTTTTGTTTCAAATTATTCCGGTGCTTAAAAGTGATAAACAACTGAAAGAATGGCAAAGTGGAGTGAATAAGTTTGTCTGGAACGAGAAAAAACCGAGAGTGAAACTGAAAATTATGCAAGATGTTCCAGAAAGGGGAGGTCTTAAACTTCCAAACCTACAGTTATATTATGAAGCAGCAACTCTGACTCAAACAAGCGATTGGTTTGGAAGGAAAAAGACTGGAATATTGAATATAGAAAGTTTTGATCTTGAATTTGGATGGCATGCTTACTTATTTTATGAAAACAAAGTGGATAAAGTATTCAAAAGCCATATACTTAGAGATACTTAGTGACGCAACATAAGGAGATTGGTCTGTAATTTTCAACTAGGCTAGGGTCTCCCTTTTTGAAGATAGGGATGACCTTGGCTTTTGACCATTAGTAGGGCAAGGTGCTGGTACTGAAATATTTTTCAAAAGTTATGCTTAGAAGTTCTGCAGTTGCAGTGGAAAGCTTTTTTAAGAAGTATGCACATAGTCCATCAGGTCCAATAGATAAAGATGGTTTTAGATTGCGCAGTGCCTTTTCAACATTGTCTTCTGTAAAATCAATATGAATTAAATCACCATAATCCTTGTAATTGTCTGTAGTACGACTGGGAAATATTGGGTATGTGTTGTTGCTGTTTATAAAGACTGAGCCAAAGAACATGTTAAAGAGATTGGCTTTAACGGTTTCGTCAATACAATCTTCATCATTTGGTCCTTTTAGGGGTGGGATGGATCTAGAGTCTTTAAGTTTGTTGTTTGCAAAATTATAGAAGGTGCTTGTGGATTTTATGTGAAGAAGGTTTTCCTCTTGCTTGATGTGATTAAAGCTTTGTTAAAAGCTTTGATGTTACTCATTTTATTTTTCATGCTGCCAGCAACGTGGTCTATCTTTAGCTGTTCTTCCATTTCCACACTGAACACAGGGACTAGAATGCTGCTGCTTGATTTTACCTGTCATCAGAAATGTAATTGCTTCTCACTTCAAATGATGCATGTCTCTAGGACTACATTAATGTGTAATTACTTCTGGTTTTAAAAGGATGGGTTAAATTTTAGTTCATATATCTATGTTCTCTTGCTAACTTCTATGCAGAGTACAAACTGGCTTCTATGATAAATGCTATATATAAGCAATCTAAGGGTGACAAAGAGCAGATTTAATTCTGGATACTTTCACAATTCTGTTTTCATTTATTGCTCATGACCAGGAAAGCCATTTGACCCAGCAACAATTCTGAAAGCTGCAGCCGCCAATATCATAGTTTCTTTTTTACTTGGCAAGAGATTTGAATCTGACGATGCTACACTTCTAAGACTACTTGAGTTAATTGAAGAAAGTTTACACCTTGCAGGAACCCCTTCTGTGTTGGTAATGTAATCTTTCATATGAAGAAAAATGTCATCCCTAGGGTTTATTAAGGTTTAATTTGTGAGATTTGGATCTTAATTAATTAATAAACTTGATTTATCATATCTTTAGCACCCACCTATTTCATATTTGATGATAATGATGGTGATTTTGGAGACTATGGAACAAACCTATTTGGATAAAAATGCTTTGAGATGTCTATCAGAAAATATATTCATAGTATTCAGCTCTGTTAATTTGCTACTTCTCTTATTCTATCCTGTTTCAGGTGTATAATGTGTTTCCCAAATTGGGATTCCTTTTGGATGCTCGTAAAAAAATAATGAATAACCAAAAAGAGTTCCATGAATTCATACAGGCTACTTTCCTTGAAAATCTCAAAGAGTTTGATGAAAATAATCAGAGGACTTTTATTGACGCATTTCTTGTTCAGCAGAAAAAGGTAATAAAGCATTTTAAGTATGCAAGGAATCGTAACTGATGTTTTTTCTTTCACACGTTTTAAAGATATTCTGGCTGGTGCCAGAATTCATGCAGCTGGAGAAAATCATTGCTTTAGAAATGTCCAAGAAAACAATTTCCTGGAGCGAAAGCAAGGAGTGAATATGTGAGTATAGTTTGGAATTTGTGTAATCTCATTCTCAGGTTCTGTGGGGATATAAACCTGAAACAAAAATAATAAAAATTAATAACCTCCACCAGCAAGGACACTATTAAACAGCCAAGGCTGATTAAAACAGTGATTATGGTTAAAACTTTGTGAAACAACATTCAAGAGGGGCTGTAGGCACCTCCAGGGTATGAGCTTTCCCATTATTTGGCAGCTCCGCATCTTCCTGAATTCCCGAGACGTGTCTCTCAGCAAGACTTCATGCAGCATCCTTGATGGCCAACAGATTCACTGTCTGTGTGATGTCTTTATTCCTTGTGTACCTATTAAAGCTACTACAATGCTTGTACACCTCTAACTGGAAATTTTCCTTGTAAAAAGCAACACTGTTTTTTTGTAGCAGTTGAGTGAAGCAGTCACCTGGGGGTCTCACTTAACAACCACTTTTCTCAATGTCCAATTGCGGTCATAAATTGAGGATTACCGATAGTACCACTTCTATTGTCTCTCATGGAGGAATAATTCTAGTAGGGAGATGATCAGGTGGGCCCTTGGGAAGCAACCTTTTAATCTTTATTTATAAACATAGGGATATTAATTATTGTGATATGGATTGGGATATGTGGTCCAGAAACTGATCAGTGCAGGAGAAGAGGAAAGCCATTCTCCCTTTCTTAGACATTGCAGTCTAAGGAAATCCATGGAAAAGTGAAGGTGAGCTCTGAAACCGGAAGTCTTTCTTCTTCATGTGAGTTAAAATTAAATCACTCTTCATGAAAGAAAGCATTGAGCTGGCATGTATTGAGAAGAACTGGCGGAGAGAAATGGGGGATGTTAATCACAATTTTTCTCCAAACTCGTTCCTGGTTCTTCCATTGTCACCATTCACTGGAACATAATGTGCAACAGCCACTCGGCATATGCATTTCCCTACACAGCCACAGCAAAAGGATGTCCTGAGTTAATGTATCCTGACATTACATTTCTGTCGTAATTGATCCTAATTTTAATTCCCCTGCATACATTGACATATGCCAATCTACAAGATGAAGCTGTCTTCATTTAGATCAAGTCCCTTTTCCATTTTCTCTTAAATTTCAAAACAGGAAATTTTTTTTTTATTATTTCAATTCATTCAGTAATTCATGGTCTTTACCATATGTTTCTCATTATCACAAGTTACAGTCTTCTTTAGCCCTGGCCATAAACAGATGCGCCCATAAACCCTGGCATCAGCTTTTTGGTCAATCAAGACCTTGACATAATTCTTTGTGGCAGGATACGAGTCTTAGGGCTCCCTGCTAATCATAGAACACAAAACCCGCCACTTTGGGCACATTTTAGCCAGCATGCCACAAACACAACCAAAGGTCAGTTTTGCTGCATATAGGATCTAAAAATATAATCTCCAATTTAAAGTCTACTTTGCAAGCCACTCTACTACTGTTTGCAACTCAATACAGATAATCCTTGAACTATGACAGCAATTCAGCCTGGAATTTCTGTTACTGAGCGATGGTTATGAAGCACAACTGAATTGCTTAGTGATGGGAATCCCTGCATTTCCAACTGCCATTGTTAACTCAACTGAAGTGGTTGTTAGACAAGGACTTCCTCACAACTTCCAATGGCTTCCCACAACCAAAGCCAGGGAAGAAGCCACAGGAAGTTGCCCATTCCAGGAGGCTTCCAATCAGCCAGCAGGTTGGCAAATAGCTGCTGCCATGTGTGGGATGACATGCAGGGGTATGTAAGTGGCTGGAGCAGCACAGTGCAAGCAGAGAAGGGGCATTGGTCCTACCTGAGATGCACCTTCTCATTGGGTGGAGACAGCAGCAGACAAGATGGGTTGTACTTGTCTATTCAGATTGATGGACTGAGTCTGCCAAAGTTGTTAAGTCCTGCCCTTGTTGCTAGGGGCTTCCAGTTTTTGGCGAAGACTGAAAAACAGACTTGATGTGTGGGAGAAAAGGAAAAGTTAGTGACAGAAACCAGACTGAGAAAAGGGTGGGGCTGGCTGCTGTCTCCACCCAACAAGAAGGTGCATCTCAGGTAAGACCAACACCCTTCTCCATTGTGGGTGGAGACAGCAGCCAGGCCTGGGACATACCAAAGTTCACTGTCCCTAGGTACGGGTGGGCCCAGTCTGGTTCGAAGACTCCCCTTCTGTATGAACCTCTTGTAACACTCTCTGCCCAAAGGCAGCTTCTGCTGAAGTGAACTTATCCAATTTGTAGTGTTGAATAAAAGGGAAAGGGGAAGTCCAGGTAGCAGCTCTGCAGATCTCCAGCGAAGAAGCTTGCGTGGCCCAAGCCACCGACTTCGCCGCTCTGCGAGTAGAATGTGCAGTCAAATTAGAAGGCCTGGGCAAAGATCGCAGTTCATATGCCGTGGCGATCGTCTGCCGGATCCACCGTCCGATGGTCAAAGAAGTCACTCTGCCACCTAAGGAGAGAGGGAGAAAGGACACAAACAAAGACTGTCTTGTGGAAGCCAGCAGTTCTCTTGAGGTATATCCGAAGTGCCCTCCGGACATCCAACTTGTGCCACTGCAGTTCCAGTGGATGAGCAGGGCGAGGACAGAAATCAGGAAGTACAAGTTCCTGCAAACGGTAAAATGGTATGTTAATTTTTGGAATGAAGGTAAGGTCAAGCCGCAGGACTACACGATCAGCGTGGAACAGACATAAGTCACCTCTCACAGAGAGGGCAGCAATTTCCAAAATCCTCCTTGCAGATGTAACCGCCACTAAAAAGGAGACTTTATACGATAGAAGCCGAAGGCTGGTTGACTGAAGGGGTTTGTACGGTGCACCCATAAGTGAATTAAGAACTAGAGATAGTCCCAGGTAGGATACCTGTGCAACACAGGAGTGCATAAGTTAGTGGCTCCCTTAAGGAACCTAAGTATCAGAGGATAGTGTGACAAAGACAGAAGAAACCCCTATACCAGGACCGTGGAAATAGTGGCCACCTGATGCCAAAGTGTATTTGGTGAAAGCCCCCTGTAGAAAAACCAAAACATCCACCACTGAAGCCTGAAGCAGAGAAACTCCTGCACGTTCACACCAAGCACAGAATGCCTGCCACGTGGCAGAATAAATACGTCTGTGTACGGCCTTCATGATGCCGTCGGAATGGTCCGAATCACAGAGGAGCAAATGTTGTCTCTCCTCAAAGAACCCTGCTCAATCTCAACCGAAGCCACTTGGGGTCCGGGTGGACCACCGCCCCCTGGCTGAATGAGGCCATGTCTGGGGGAAGTTTCTATGGAGGTACCACCGACAGAGATATGAGGTCTGCGAACCAACTCCTCCACGGCCAATGAGGGGCCAGGAAAATGACTTCTGCCCATTCTAACAGGATCTTGCGTATGACTCTTGGGATAAGCGGGATTGGCGGAAAAGCCTAACCCTAACCCCTGTCCGATCTGATCAACGGGCACCTGTTGAATAGCCAGAAGGTGTTGAACAGCCGAATCCATAAGGAGGTGTCTGATTCTATCCTTAGAAAGAGGACAGGAAATAAAGAACTGCAGAGGAGTGGAGAAGCCCGATCTAATAGTACTGAGGAACCATTGATCAGATGTAGTTATCTCCCAAAGGTCGGCAAAGAGAGCCAATCTGCCACCAATGGGGAGTCCCAAACTGCAGTTAACAACAGCGCTGGATAGAACAACCTCCTCCCCCACAAAAGGGCCGTTTACTTAGAAATGGTCTATCTCTTGAAGTCCTGTCCTGAAGTCCCCAGTGTTTGGGGTTGAAGGACCCTGTGAAATGGGAAGAACTAGCACCCTCATCAGATCCACGAAACTGGGACCGCTGGGAATAAGGCAGAAAATGGGTCTCCCCCCGACGGTGAGTGGTAGGTAAAACTTTTCATTTGTCCTTGGTTTCAATTAGAAAGGGCTCCAAAGACTCCCCAAATAATTTGGATCCCATAAAGGGGACAGACGCTAGATGCCATTTGTGTCTAGCATGTGCCTGCCAATGACAGAGCCAGACTAAACAACGAGCCGCTACAGAAGAGGCCAGGGACTTAGCAACAAAATGAGCAGCATTGAGGGTGGCATCTGCAGAGAATTGGACCGCCGCAATGAATTTGTTCAAATCCTGCCTGAGTCTTGTTACCTCTGGCAACAACTTTTCTTGCAATTGGCCTAACCAGAGCAAAGTTGTCCAGTTAAAAAATGAAGCAGTTGTTGCTGAACGAATCATCCAGGCCAACCCTTGATCTGCATGCTGAAGAACCTGGTCCAAGCAATGCTTTTCTGGACGAAGACCTTCCTCCAGATCCCCCGGAATGGCGGCGTTAGACAGAAGCGCAGCAACAGGGCCATCCATGGATGGCACTTGAAGAAGGGTCACCAAGTCTGGAGCTATGTTGAAATACTTGCGGTCAGTTGTGGGAGGCACCGGGGCAGAACCAAGTGAAGACCATTGCTTCCTGACTACATCAAGGAACAAAGGTGGAACTGGGACAGAATCAACTGGCCTGGTGGGTTCAGCGAATATGGGATTTAGACTCCCTTGTGACAGTGACGAACCCGACTCTGCTGGATTAGAACCAAGTTTGGTGGTATTGACAGCCTTAAACAATAACAATTTGAAAAGAGCCAGAGGGAATAAACCTGTGAAGGCAGGTTGTTCTGGGGGAAGGCCCTCATCATCAGAAAGTCCAGGTTCTTGGGAATCAACCTTCACCAGCATCGATGGGTGACTGTCGAGGGAGGTGGTCAGAGAATCAGGATCCTCTGCAAAAAACACTTCTTCTGGTAGTCTCTGTCCGGTGAGGCAGAGGCGAAAGAGCGGACCGAAGTGCCCCTGTGGGAGGAAAGGAGCCCCACCGATAACGACTGCTGAATTGCAGAATTAATCATTTGCTGTAACTGCTCAGACAACAGATGTTGATGGCATACCTGGCCTTGCGAAACTGCGACCTCCCTAGCCGCAGGTGCAGAAGATGTATGCGGGCAGGTACTAACATTAGCAACAACAGGGCCTACCTCTCTAGATGCTAATTCTGCGGGCAAGATGGGTCCCCACAGGTCAGTTTTCGGGATGGTTACAGGACAGCCCTGAAGTGACATTTGGTCTGGGGTCACTGCCGGGGGCAGCTCCAGCGGGAGCTCTGGTCTCCTGAAAGGAGAAGCCCCTTCCTTAGCTCGAGAAGAGGAAGCAATATTACTGCTGGCTTTATCACAAAGCTTCTGCAGTGTCTTGTGCCTGCGCCTCTCATCCTTGGAAGTCAAGGACTGCTTGCAAGGTCTATGATGAGAACCAGATAACTGGCCACTGGTGCCTGAATGCTTGGTACCAACCTTCTGGGCCAGGTCAGAAGAGGATGCCTGACCATGAGAAGTACCAAGAAGTACCGAGAAGTACCAAGATTGTCTGTCCCAGCCTTTCGGCCATGCTTCGATTTAGTTAATGCCTTAGGCATAATTAATCAGGCTGGCACAAAAATATTACACTCTGGTATTTGCGAAGCAGCCACAAGACACGGTGTATATGGGTTTCCCCCAGCAACGTAGTCCTCGAAATGTGGACTGCATTGACTAGTCCTGATGGTCACCTATGGCAACACAGTCGCAATTGCCGGAGATTCACAGTGACAGGAGAATCAGCCACCAAGTAATTCAAAGCATGATTTTGTCAAAGGAAATAATACAAATCTGGCATAGGCAGAAGCCTGGAGGCCAATCAATATGTCGCCTACTCTGAGGAGACATCAAATGGCAAACAACTGAGGCACAGACCGAAGCCTGGAGGCCAATTGATAAGTCGATCTGTCTGAGGTGGCTTCGGGCTCCTCTGAATGGCCGCCAACTGCTAGACAAAATTGCAGGCTGGAGTGCGAAGCTTCCAAACCTGATAACAGCAAACCGGAGAGTAAAAGCGGCGGCGCTGCCGAAGCAATTCCAAACTTGATAGAGCACAAAGCTCTTCTGTCAAAACCAGTTGGGCGGTGGCTGTCAGACCACACAAAATGGCCATCCAACCAACTCTTTGAGGGAGCGCAAAGCTCCACAATGCCCCGGAAAGCTGTTCTATCAACGGGGCAATTCAGTCACAAACAGTAAATATAGCTGAAAAAACGATTCTTCCCCCCCCCAGCAGACCAGCGAAAGCCAGTCGCTGAGGAAAGACAATCCACAACAAGTGGAAATATGAAGAACTCACAATCCGAAGTCCAAGAAACAGTCCAATAACAGTCCAGGGTCAAAGTCCAATATCAATCCGTAGGAATAGAAAAAGGGAAAATGGGATAATTGAGAAGTAGAAAGGCAATTAAGCCAGAGACACAATCCCACACCACTGTCCAGTCTGACGGACTGAGTCAAAAGCTGGAAGCTTCTAGCAACAAGGGCAGGACTTAACAACTTTGACAGACTCAGTCCATCAATCTGAACAGATGAGTACAACCCAGGCCTGGCTCCTGGCTCCACCCACAATGGAGAATGACTTGGAATGATTGCTTCCAGATGGGGAGAGACTGAGGGTGTGCTGCTTCCAGATGGGGAGAGACTGAGGGATTGTAGGTTGAACAAGGGTGAAAGGGAGGGGGAGTTAAGGCTTGGGAAGGAGTGTGGTGTTGTGCAGAGGGGCAAGTGGAGAGATTTACCCCAGAAAATCCCTGCTGGCTTCCCATTATCTTTATGGAGGAAAAAGCAAGGAAAATTGCAAAAGGCAAGCACGTAATCACACAGCCACTGAACTATAGTAAGTGCTAGCTAGATCATGTTTGCCAAGCACCCAAAGCAGGATCATGTAATTGTGGGACTGCTCAGATGGTTGGAACTAAAAGAACTGGTTACAACCACCATTTGTTTACTATCGTTTTAACTTGAAATGCTCCTGGAATGAATGGTCATAAGTTAAAGACTATTTGTATACGTGACATATTCAGGATGCTTATATTTTGCTTTAGTTTGTTTAATAAGGCTTTATATAAGCAGAAATCTTGAGTCTAGATTTAATCATGCTCATAATCACTGTAACTATATTGATAGCCTTTCCCCCCATTATAAATAATAACCCTAAAATTTATTACAGATAAGCAACACACTGTCCTCCAGTTTTTGTGGAGAACAACTCTCACAATCTCCTGACACTGGAAATTTGGAGGCCACTGTAACATCTGTCCATGTATGTAGATTATAGACATACATTAAATGTCCTTGATATCTTTTCTTTATACTCTTCAGGAGAATAAGAAGTCAATAGATAGCTATTTCCATAATGATAACCTTATAGGTCTTGTGGATAACCTATTTATTGCTGGCATGGATACTACTTCAAACACGTTGTACTGGGCCTTACTCCTAATGATGAAGTATCCAGAAGTTCAGAGTAAGCAGTTTTTATTTGACTGATTTTCAATAAAAGTATATAATTACCTGTCAAAATAACATGGGGATGGGTTAGGGTTAGGGTTAGGAGGCCATGCAGGGGGCCATGTGCATGTGCACATGGGGGGTGCATGGGAGCAGGATGGCGGGGCAGGGGGGGCAGGGGGAGCACGTGCACATGCGTATGGGGGCGGGCATGTGGGAACAGGGTGCATGCAGACATTGCATTTTGGTGGTTCAGGCGCACGCCCATGAGCTTTCAGCACTCCATTCGAAAAAGGTTACCCATCACTGGATTATAAGATCTCACCATATGAAGGGTTTATACATGTACTTTCAGAGATTTCTGAAAGATGTACCAGTCACAGAATGTGTGTTATGCACCTATCACCTCTCATTACTGCTGAATATGAGCTAAAACTGAAAAGAGTTTTCTGCTAAGAATGATACATTCCAAGCACAATACTCCCTTAATTGATTTCTTATATCTCACTAATCATTTCATAATGTCTATACCATATTTTCCGGCGTATAAGACGACTTTTTAACCCAGGAAAATCATCTCAAAAGTCGGGGGTCGTCTTATACGCCGGGTACCCGAATCTGAGTTGCTGGCGCTGACCGATGACACTTTGGGAGCGCCGGCAACATTGAGGGGAAGCTGTACTCCGAATTAGTTCCAATCTACAAGAGGTGCCAGGCAGTGCGGGGCCCACGAGAAAGGAACGCGTCCCCACTCTACCCCGGAATTCGGGTCACCTTCCTTCCTTTCCCAGCAGTCCACGGTGAAAGCGGCGCCGCGGTCGACCTGGGCCAGCACCTTGCACACCTGGCTCTGCGTCTCCATTATGAGAAGCTCCATGCGACTTCGCATGTCTCTGCCCCAGTCACGCAGCTCTCGCAATCCGCTCACTGGAGGAGCCATGAAGTGCTCGCACCGCCTTGCCAGATCTTCCTCGTCCTCCTTTCCCCACAGCTTTTCCCGTTGTAATTGCTGCTGCTGCTACCGCCGAGGCTGCTCCTTCATCTTCGCCCACCGCACCAGACCCAGCCCGGCCAGCACCGCCGTGGCTCCCGCAGTCCAAGCGGATCGGCGCCCGGGCTCGCAGGCGAAGGGTGGGAGTGCGCAGCGATCGACGCCGATCGCTGCCACCCACCATCGCCCCAACGGGAAGAACTGCCCAGCAGCGATTCCAAGGAGCCCAAAGCGAACATCCTGGAGCAGTGTAGATCGGCCCGGAGGCTTAAACCCCGGGAGCCCAGGTGCCAAACCCCGCACAGCAGAAAAGACATGACAGCCGGTGCCCAGTTCCTTCTGCAGCCATCTGGATCAGCGCCCGGGCTCGCAGGCGAAGGGTGGGAGTGCACAGCGCACTTTCCTGGCTTGGCGCCGATCCGGGCGGCTGCAGAAGGAACTAGGCACCGGCTGTCATGTCTTTTCTGCTGTGCGGGGTTCGGCACCTGGGCTCCTGGGGTTTAAGCCTCTGGGCCAGCCCGTGCTGCTCCAGGATGTTCGCTTCGGGCTCCTTGGAATCACTGCCGGGCGGTTCTTCCCGTTGGGGCGATGGTGAGTGGACTGTGGGAGCCACGGCGGACTCCTTCCCCACGAGGTATTGCTCTGCATTTCACCACCTCTTCCAGGCTCGCAGCCACCCACCATCGCCCCAACGGGAAGAACCACCCAGCAGCGATTCCAAGGAGCCCGAAGCGAACATCCTGGAGCAGCACGGGCTGGCCCAGAGGCTTAAACCCCAGGAGCCCAGGTGCCGAACCCCGCACAGCAGAAAAGACATGACAGCCGGTGCCCAGTTCCTTCTGCAGCCATCCAGATCGGCGCCAAGCCAGGAAAGTGCGCTGTGCACTCCCACCCTTCGCGTGCGAGCCCGGGCGCTGATCCGGATGGCTGCAGAAGGAACTGGGCACCGACTGTCATGTCTTTTCTGCTGTGCCGGGTTCGGCACCTGGGCTCCCGGGGTTTAAGCCTCCGGGCCGGCCTGCGCTGCTCCAGGATGTTCGCTTCGGGCTCCTTTGAATCGCTGCTGCTGCGGTTCTTCCCATTGGGGTGATGGTGGGTGGCAGCGATCTGCGTCGATCGCTGCGCACTCCCACCCTTCGCCTGCGAGCCCGGGCGCCAATCCGCTTGGACTGCGGGAGCCACGGCGGTGCTGGCCGGGCTGGGTCTGGTGCGGTGGGCGGAGATGAAGGAGCAGCCTTGGCGGTAGCAGCAGCAGCAATTACAATGGGGAAAGCTGTGGGGAAAGGAGGACGAGGAAGATCTGGCAAGGCGGTGCGAGCACTTCATGGCTCCTCCAGTGAGCGGATTGCGAGAGCTGCGCGACTGGGGTGGAGACATGCGAAGTCGCATGGAGCTTCTCATAATGGAGACGCAGAGCCAGATGTGCAAGGCGCTGGCCCAGGTTGACCGCGGTGCTGCTTTCACCGTGGACCTCCTTGGAATCGCCTTGGAATGCTGGAACCAGCTGGTTGCTGAGCGGAGCTTCCCCCAGGCATCTAGGGGGATATTACCGATGCTCTGACTTCCCCAGACCGGTGGGGCTCGCCATCAGTGGGGTCAGCTGGGGAAGTCGGAGCGTCGGTAATATCCCCCTAGATGCCTGGGAGAAGCTCTGCTCAGCAACCAGCTGGTTCCAGCATTCAGCAGCATGCAGCCTTGACTAGATCGGCACAGCTTCCTGTCAATGTTGTCAGCGCTTCCTTAGCGTCATCAGTCAGTGCCAGCAATTCAGATTCATGAAGCTGTGCGGATCTCGACAAGGCTGCATAGGTGAAGGAAAAAAACCTGGTACAAAATAGCCCTCTTGCCACTACACGTAGCGTAGCCCATTACCTTTCTCTACAGTACAGCAACAATACATACAGTACAGCAACAGTACATACAGTATAGTATACAAATATAACAGTCAAGACCCCATCATGGCTCCACCAGCAAGAAGAAAGAAATATGAAGCCAGTTTTAAACTTAAAGTTGTAAACTTTGCCATGGAACATAATAACTGTGCTGCTGCAAGACAATATGGAATAACAGAAAAGATGGTTCGGGACTGGAAAGCAAATGTAAAAGCGTTAAAGAGTATGCCAAGGGGTAAGTGTGCATTAAGAAGAGGCACCCCACATTGGCCAGAACTCGAAAAACATGTAGCAGACATGGTGAATGAGCATCGCCAAAACGGTTATGTAGTTACACGAAATAAAATACGTTTGTTTGCACTTCAGTGGGCCAAATCTAACCCAGATCACAGCAACAGATTTAAGGCCAATGTATCCTGGTGTACTAGATTCTTGGAAAGGCATAATTTGGTTCTGAGGCAAAAGACAAAAATTGCACAAAAATTACCTGCAGATCTTGATGCCAAAGTAAATAGTTTCCATCGATATGTAATAAAACAGCGCAAGAAACATGGCTATGCATTAAGTAGTATCGGAAATATGGATGAAACTCCAATGAATTTTGATATGATTGGAAATAAAACTGTCCATCCAAAAGGTGAAAAAACAATTTTAATTAAAACAACAGGACATGAGAAGTCCAGTTTTACAGTGGTACTAGCATGCACAGCTGATGGCTCCAAACTGAGACCAATGATTATTTTTAAAAGAAAAACAATGCCGAAACTAAAGTTCCCTGTTGGTTGTTTTGTACATGTGAATGAAAAAGGCTGGATGGATGAAGAAGGGGTAAAGCTATGGCTTGATAATATATGGAGCAGGCAACCAGGTGGACTTATTCAAAAACGTAGTCTACTGGTGTGGGATATGTTCAGGGCTCATTTAACTCCCAGCACCAAGCAAAGGCTTGCAAGAATAAACACAGATGCGGCAGTTATTCCTGCAGGATTGACATCGTTGGTACAGCCACTGGATGTGTGCCTAAACAAGCCATTTAAAGATCGCATTCAAGAATAGTGGAATGAGTGGATGGTTAGCGGTGAAAAGTCATTCACAAAAGGAGGAAACATGTGTGCTCCACAGTTGGATGTTTTGTGCAAGTTTGTCATAAAAGCCTGGAATGATATTGATGCAGAAACAGTAATCAAGTCTTTCAAGAAGTGTGGCATATCAAATTCATTAGATGGTATGGAGGACGACTACTTGTGGCAAGATGAAGAGGAAGCCGAAGCTGAGACCACACCATCTGATACGGAATTACATCCATATGATGACTGCCTTACAAATGTATCACAAGATGTCCTTGATGTACTTATGATATCAGATGACGAACAGGAGGATTTTGAAGGCTTTTAAAGGGAAACTGTCACGCCAGCAAAACCTGTAAAAATAGCTTGCAGTTATGATGGGCGTTACTGACTCGCCAGGGACTTGCCTGGCACTGGCTCTCTATTGTTTGTTATCTTCCTCCTATCATAATCAGTTCCAGTTTGGTTGACAGCTTAGAAAACAAACAGCATGGCAGCTCCCATGGGTTTATTGTCTTATCCTTCCTTTCAGCTTTAGAGTGAATTAGGAAAAGTTTAATCCAATTGCACTGTTTTATGTTGACATGTTTGATGACAAACAGCCTTATGTTTATAAGTGACAGTTTTCCTGCTAAGTACCTGCGTGTCATAAGCATTTGAATTAAAATTACCATATTGAAATCAAATCTGATGTTTTTAAATTTTTATTTGGTGTGCGTTGGAAGAGGGGTAGTCTTATACGGCGAGTATAGTCCAAACCCTATATTTTAACAGGAAAAGTAGGGGGTCGTCTTATACACCCAGTCGTCTTATACACCGGAAAATACGGTACATTAAAATATAAATAATCTGTGATTAATCAACCTTTTTCTGCATGGGCATAATCATAGAATAATATATATGGTGAATAAAAGGAGGAAAAGTACCAAGAGAAAAATTACAAGCTAGATCACAAATGATTATCTTCAGATCTGTACTATAAATGTACTTTAGAATTTTTGCATAAACTTCAATTTAAAGCAAAATTGAAATTATGGAATCATCATTTTGATGTGATCCTATTCTCTTAGGGAAAGTCCAAGAAGAAATTGCAAAAGAGGTTGGGGTTCGTCAGCCAAGGACAGAAGACCGATTCAAAATGCCTTATACCAATGCAGTAATTCATGAAATTCAAAGGTTTGCTGATATTGTTCCAACCAATTTGTTCCATGCAACCACCAAGGACATAACTTTCAAAGGCTTCTTCATTCCCAAGGTGATTGCTGTGAAATAATCCCAATGTTAATGTTCCAATCTTATTTTGTACAGTATAAACAATTTATGACCATAATTGAGCCCACAATTTTAATCCTAGATCATGATGGATATAAAGTGCACCATTTATGACCTTTTTTGTGGCACTCATTAAGCAAACATTGGGGTCATATAGTGAATGCTGTGGTCATTAAGTGGGCCCGGTATTCACTGTAGCACTTTTTGGCCAGAAACTGAAAGTAAATGCCAGTTTCTTGCAAAAACATAAATTGTAGTCATACGATCATGGGAGGCTTCAAACAATCATAAATGTGGTCTGGTTGCCAAGTACCCAAAATATGGCTACATGACCATACTGGGTAAGAAGCCCAGGACATTGGAACGTCTAATTATTGTTTTTCAGGGTCTGTTGTAAGTGTAACCAGTTGCTAACTGATAAGTAGTAAGTTGAGCATTCCCTGTAAGTTAAATGCAGTTTTAAATCCTGTTGAACCCTGAATGTAGCTGTTTGCTTCTTTTTTCCTTAAAGTTTTTTGAACTAGTATGTTTCTCCATGCATAGTATTTATCATACTATTAATACTATAGTATATTTAAGTCTATAATACTATAGCACCATGTTTTCCCAAAAATAAGACCGGGTCTTTTGACCCCTCCCCCCCCAAATGGCTAGGGTTTCTTTTCGGGGGTGTCTTAATTTTTTAAATATTTTTTTATAAAAAGTTTTTTATTTTTCAATTACAAAGACAAAGATTCCATCTTTCCTTATGCAGTGCGTCGGGTACAAACATCTCTGTGCAACATCGTTCCTCATTTGCCACATCTTTCATATTCACATTCACATTATTTCTCTAAACTTAATATTATGATATAATAAACAATTGAACATTGTAAAACTCTCCATTTTCTTCTTAATATCTTCTAGTAATAATACCATATTAACATTAAACATCATTATTCACATCATAGATATTCTAACAATTTTCATCTTATTTATATCTCTATCTTAATATATTTTCTACTTATTCTTTGGTCTTCTTCATTTCCAAACTCCTTTTTTATTCTTCAACCATTGATAAAATACTTCCCATATCATATAATATTCAGTTTGCTCTTTCTCCTTAATTGCTAATATTAATCTGTTCATTTCTGCACATTCTAATATTTTCCTTATTACCTTCTCATCAATGGGAATCTCTCCACTTTTCCAATATTGTGCAAATACAATTCTAGCTGCAGTTAATACCTGAATAATTAAATATACATTCTCTTTACTATAAATTTCAGGTAAAATTCCTAGCAGAAATATTTCTGGTTTCAACTCAATACACTGTTGTATTATCTCTTCCAACCATATCTTAATTTTTGTCCAATACTTCTTTGCTTCTGAACATGTCCACCACATATGATAGTAAGATCCAGGTATTTGGTGGCACTTCCAACATTTAGATGATTTACCTTTAAACATCTTTGCCAACCTCACCGGCGGTAAATGATATCTGTAAAACATCTTATACAAATTCTCTTTATATGCAGTTGACATCATTAATTTATAATTCCTATCCCACAATTTCTGCCCTTTATCTAGTTCTATCGCATAACCAAAGTTTTTCACCCATACTTTCATTGTCTCTTTTACTTGTTCCTCTTCCAATTTTATACCCAATAAGTAATTATAAAGTTTCTTTATTAACCTTTCTTCTGTTCCTTTTAAGATTTTATCTAACTCTGTTAATTCTTTGTAAAAACCCTGTAATTTAGCATCTTTCTCGTATCTAGATAGTATCTGCACATGTGGATACCACGTTATAGCGATCCCTTGCTTACTCATTTCTTCTTTCATTTTAAGTCCCCCTTCTTCATTCAATATATCTTTATATCTGACAATAGTTCCCATATTAATAATATTTGAGTGAATCAATGCTCCCATTGTTGAAAGCCAAACTGGTATCCTCAAATAATGTTGTTCTTTAATTTTCTCTCCCACCAATAATAATGCATTCCTTACATAATGTCTCTGAAAATATCCACGTAACTTATTTTACCCATAGCATAATAATGCATGCCACCCCAGTTGTAAATCGTGTCCTTCCAAAATCAATAACCTTATATTCCTCAATACAATCCATACTAGTACTGCAGCCTGATAGTACAATTCCCAGTTTGGTAATCCAAAGCCTCCTCTACTTCTTATATTTTGCATCAGTTTAAAACCAATTCTTGCTTTTTTTCCCTTGCCAAATATACTTATGTATTGTTTTATTAAGTTCCACAAAATATTTATTTTCCAGTTTTATCGGAATTGTCTGGAATAAATACAATAATCTTGGCAATATATTCAGTTTGATTGTTGCTACTCTTCCTACCAGAGATAATTGCAGATTCTTCCACTTCCACAAAACAATTGCTAGCAACCTGCCTTCCATTGAGGACCTGTATACTGCACGAGTCAAAAAGTGGGCTGTGAAAATATTTACAGACCCCTCACATCCTGAACATAAACTGTTTCAATTCCTACCCTCAAAACATTGCACACCAGAACAACTAGACACAAGAACATTTTTTTCCTGAATGCAATCACTCTGCTAAACAAATAATTCCCTCAACACTGTCAAACTATCTCCTATCCTATCCCCTTCTCTCCCTCAGGCTTGCCCCACAGAAGCCTCCCCTATCCCCTTCTGTCCCTCAAGCTTGCCCCCACAGAATCCTCCTCTATCCTATCCCCTTCTCTCCCTCAGCCTTGCCCCACAGAAACCTCTCCTATCCTATCCCCTTCTCTCCTGCAGCCTTGCCCCACAGAAGCCTCTCCTATCCTATCCCCTTCTCTTCCTCAGCCTTGCCCCACAGAAGCCTCTCTTATCCTATCCCCTTCTCTCCCTCAGCCTTGCCTCACAGAAGCCTCCCCTATCCCCTTCTCTCCCTCAGCCTTGCCTCACAGAAGCCTCCCCTATCCCCTTCTGTCCCTCAGGCTTGCCTCACAGAAGCCTCCCCTATTCCCTTCTTTCCCTCAGGCTTGCCCCACAGAAGCCTCCCCTATCCTATCTCCTTCTCTCCCTCAGCCTTGCTCCACAGAAACATCTCCTATCCTATCCCCTTCTCTCCCTCAGTCTTGCCCCACAGAAGCCTCTCCTATCCTATCCCCTTCTCTCTCTCAGGCTTTCTAGCCCCTTCTCTCCCTCAGGGTTGCCAAACAGAAGCCTGTCCTATGCTATCCCATTCTCTCCAGTTATTTTCAAGTTTGGAGGGGGAGTAGAATGTCTAACTAATTAGCATCAAAGCATGTTATAATAATATAGGAAATACTAATGCTCTGATAGTCATTTCGAAAAATCCTTTCTTAGTGAGCACCTAGAAGCCAAAAGGAACCTAACTGGCAAATTTCAAGTTTGTAGGCTTCATGGTTCTGGAGATTTTGTGATTACAGCATGAATGGTTTTTGCTTTTATATGGTTTTTGCTTATATATATATATGTTTTGAAGATCAGTTTTTATTGCCATTAACGATTTTGATGAATTTGCCTTATTACCAAAGGAAGAACAAGATTTAATTTCAGATCTTACAGTATTTTATTCATGATGATAAATGTGGATTTCTACATAGAGGACAACTTAGGAACAATATGAGAATTGTTTTGGATATAATGGAGTATGTCTAATACCAAATAAGAAACCAGTAGCTCTGATCTTTTCAGATGCTGAGAAAGTCTTCAAAAATTTGAACTGGGATTTTATGTTCAGAGTTGTGGAAGATATGGCCTTTCGGGATAATTCTCTTGGAGGAATTAAATCTATTTATACATCCGAGAAAGCACAAGTTACTAGTTTTGATACTACAGGAACCCCAGAATAGTATAGAACCATGATGGCGAACCTATGGCACGCGTGCCACAGGTGGCACGTGGAGCCGTATCTGTGGGCACATCAGCGTTACCCTAGCTTATCTCCAGCACGCATGCACATGCCGACCACCTGATTTTTGGCCCTTCCAGTGGGTGGGCCCACTGGAAGTCAGGAAACGGGCTGTTTCCAGCCTCCGGAGGGCCTCTTTCGGGGTGGGGAAGGCAGCTTTCTCCTAGAAAGCCTCTGGAGCCTGGGGAGGGCAAAAAAATGAGTCTTCCGGGCCCACCGTGCCATCACATGCCAAAAGTGGGGGGAGCACAGGGGATTACACACGCATGTGCTGGGTGCATTGAATTATGGGTGTGGGCACGCATGTGCATAAACCCCCCGCACTCCCCCCACTTTTGGCACACGATGGCAAAAAGGTTAGCCATCACTGGTATAGAACATCTAATAAAGAAACTGAAGCATTTGGGCATATTAGCTGGTTTTAAAATTAATCAAAAGAAGAGAAAGATGTTCACAATAAAATAATAAAAAAAGAATTAAAGAATAGAGAAGGGGTCACACTGAACAATAGGAATTGCATGTTGTTTTAGAAAATGTGTTAAAATATGGAATGATGTTACAAAAGACTTAGCGAGATAGAGCAAATTATTGTTGTTATTGGGTAGACTTTTTGTTATTAAGATGAATGTCTTATTCAGGATATTATTTTTATTTTAAACTATACTGATGTTGTCAATTGTTTTACCATTAAAACATAAAATTTCATTATAATAATTTCTACAACAATGTGTTAAATGGAAAATACTCTTCTTTATATAATTTCATTGTTTAGGGTATGCAAATTATTCCTTTGCTGACCTCTGTGCTCCATGATGAATCCCAGTGGGAGAAACCTCATGAATTCTACCCTGAGCATTTTCTTGACTCTGAAGGAAAATTTGTGAAGAGGGATGCATTCATGCCTTTCTCTGCAGGTAACATCACTCTGTATATGTGAAAAGCTATCCTGGAAAGAGTTTCAGTGCAACAGGATACTTAGGAAGATTCATTATTTCCTTTAAGATTATAATTATTCCTTTGAGGCAATGTGACTATGGAAAGCCATGTAAAATAGTTTAAGAAGCCAAAAAACTCACCTGTTTTGCCATCTATGTTTTCTTCCAGGTCAGAGAGTATGTGCTGGTGAGACCCTTGCCAAAATGGAGCTCTTCCTTTTCTTTACCAACCTCCTCCAGAGATTTACCTTCCAGCCACCTTCAGGAACATCTAAAGATGATCTGGACCTGACTCCTGCTCTTGGACTTACCACCCCTCCCATACCTTACAAGACCTGTGCTGTCTTATCTTGATCTGACAGGGAAAAACTCATAATAAGCTATTTTCTCACCTTTTAAATAGCTCTATTTTGACAGAGAGGCAAAATCTGACAATCTGATTCCATATTACATTATATTCATTATATTTATTTTATTTGAATTCCACCTTTATTAATTTTACAAATAACTCAAGGAGGAGAACATATCCAATACACTATCCTACCCTTATTTTCCCAAAGCTCTTTGGGCTAAGAGGAGAGACTGGCCCAGAGTCACCCCAGCTAGAACTCAGAGTTTCCTGGTTATTAACCCAAAGTTACCCAGCTGGATTTCATTGCTAAAGTGGGACCTGAACTCACAATCTCCTTCTTTTCTAGGCTGGTGTCTCAACCACTAGACCAAACTATCTATTCTATACGTTTCATGTATTGCCTAAAAGATGAATAGCAGTAATCTATAGAAACATAAAATATAGGTTCTGATAGGAAAGAACAGTGGGAAATCATGAAAAGCAAAGTGCTTTGTATCATATTACTTCATTTTTCTTTTGGGGCCATTTATTTCCTTTAGCTTTTACTATTTTTTCTCCTTTCTGTTTCTGGTTAGAAATTTTTTGTTTCTTTAACTTTTGAGTATTTTAATTACTTTTTAAAAAAGCAGCCTTTCTCTCTCTCTCTTTTTTGCAATAGCTCTAATTGTAAATTCATATATTTGCTTTATAAAACTAGTTATCATTTCTATTATTTCTTCAAAAACCAATAAAATAATATTTTACATCAGGAAATTCCATGGGGCCTCCAGCAACAAATCAGGGGTAGGGGGTGGGGGGCTCTTGCCAAACCCAATGACACAGAGCTGAATGCAGCATGACCTAACATCTCTTTGCCCAACACCACCGGAGGAAATCCCACAAGGCAAGCCTCATTAAATGGAGTCAATGTCATCCATTCTGAACAAGACCCACCCCCCAGTGATGCAGGACTTATATTAAACAAACCACCCTTTAGAGGAGGCTATAATTGCTGCTGCTGATCTCCCAGCCCAACATAATAGCAATAGACTTATATACCGCTTCATAGGGCTTTTACAGCCATGTCTAAGCGGTTTACAGAGTCAGCACATTGCCCCCAACAATCTGGGTCCTCATTTTACCCACCTCAGAAGGATGGAAGGCTGAGTCAACCTTGAGCCTGTTGAGATAATAACCTCACTGCTTCCTCTTGTCAAAACCATACCTCCTGAAGGGCCTCAAATGATTCTTCTCTTTCACTTCTAACCTGGAAAATTGACAGCTGGTCATCCCATCAAAAGACCAGCTTTTTTTAAAAAAAATCAACAACTATATTCACAATTTGTTGTCCTCTTCCTACAAGGAACTTGGGTTTCTTCAGAGGTGAAGCTAGATGGTTACTAAGTTAATTCTCTCTCCGCTTTCCTGAGCAAAGCAGGTGGGATATCTAAACATGGTATTATGACTAGTTAGCACAATCTTGCAATTCAGATGTCTTCTTTACAGCCATGGGTTGTGGCTACCTATCCCTCATCCAACCATAGGAAATTTTGCTTTTTAACATTTATGTTCCTTCTCTTAATAAGAACAATCTGGTCAACAATATCTTGGAGCACATAAAAAGAATTATCCTTAGTTGTTTAGACAAACATCCCACAGCTGCAATAATAATAGGTGGAGATTTATATACTAGGATGGGACCAAATGATCCTACATTATTTCACCAATTTAAGATCCATTATGAGGAGAGTGTATTACAGGAGCCCTTGTATTTTAGAGAATTTAAAGTCCTAAAAGCTAACTGAACATGTCTATATGCAAGACAGGTGACTGCACATCTGAACCCATGTATCCTTAAATGTTCCATAAGTGCAGACCACCCAGGAGAAAACACCTATCAGGGGGAGGGGGACCGGGAAGAAAATCTTATAGTTAATTGTTGGATAGTATGATGTGAACTTTTGAATTTTTTGTAAAAAAGAGAGGTAGATTCACAACTGGAAAGTCGCCACTATTCAATAATTCTAACTCTGACACTCCACTGGAAATGTTTAAGAGCTACCCATCAAGGTTTAATAGTTATGATACCCAGATAAAAATTTAAATTAAATGAAAAAAACACAGAAGCATTGCAGCAAGACCGTCTGGAAAAATAGCAGGCTCTGGTGAGCTCCATGAAAATCCAGCCGGACAAACTCTGTCAGGGGGTTTTCGGAACCATCCTGTAGGGACAGTAAAGAAGGAGAGGTGCCTCAGACGACCAAGAGGAACAGGTAAGTTCCTCTAAAGGTCAGAGGCTGCTCTTCGAATGGCAGCAGGGGTGGCGGCCATTAAAAAATGACCGCTCTGAAGCTGGGGCAACAGGAATAAGATTTTTGTGCAGGAGCAGTGTTTGAACGGAGTGCTGGTACTGGGTGAGTGATTGGCCAACTCACAGGTAGATGTATGAGGAATTAATTGAGATGTTTAAAAACATGTGTGAATCATTAATGGGGAACAAAAAGTCAGAAATTTTGCTAGAACACACAAAACAGGAAAAAGAGAATATAAATGAGAAGCATGAAAATAATGTTGAAGGAAAAGGAATTGACTGTAAAAAGTTAGATGATTACACTGGGATTTACAGTGGCAAAAAAAAGAGTGGATGGGGGGAATATCCCCCAAAAAAGAAGCAATCAAAGGGAAGAGAAGGAAATGGAAAAAGATTAGGAAAAAGCTTGGGGAGAATTATGTGAGTAAAAGTTAGAAAAAGGATTCAGGAGAAAAGATACAATAAATATAAAAAAAAGAAAGAAGAAGTTAAGAGAATGGGAAGAAAGGAGAAAACTATTAAAAAATGGAGAGACCAAGAGAAAATGGTTGAAAGAGGAAGAATAGTGGAAAGGAGGAAGGGAAATAAGGTATATATTAGTCGATCTAAGGGAACTGTATTAATATTATTAAATGTGAATGTAAGAAGTGAATATGATGATGTATATTGTTTGTTGTAAAAAAAAGAACAGATGAAATATGAAGTGGCAATTAGGTTTAATTATGAAAATAACTGAAATCAGAGACAAAACTGAAATGTTAAAAAGTTTGATGGGGATTTTGAAAAAAATATGTTGTAAATGATGAAATGAAATAATTGATGCTATAGTAAGAAATCAGGAATTAAGGGTGGATAGTGATATTGCTTATCATGTACTAAGAAGAGATTAAGATAAGATGTGGAAGGTCAATTAAGGTAAGGGTTTCAATGTACGAATTGAATATGATGAAGTACATTGTTCAGAGCCAAAAAGTGTGATGGGGATTCTGAGAAATATATTTTATAAATGGAGAAATAAGATAATTAATTGATGTTACGCTAAGAAATTAGGAACTGAAGGGGAGATGGGGATACTGTTTATATATTATGTATTAAGAAGAGATTAAGATAAGATTAGAGCCTTGGTAGTACAAGAGCCTTGGTAGTACAGGGGTTTAAGGCACCCTGTTATTAAGCTGGTTATTAAGACCAGCTGCCTGCAATTACTGCAGGGTTCAAATCTCGCCAAGGCTCAAGGTTGACTCAGCCTTCCATCCTTTCTAAGGTAGGTGAAATGAGGACCCAGTTTGTGGGGGCAATAAGCTGACTTTGTATAAATATACAAAAGGATGAAGGCTATTGCTGAGCACATTGTAAACCGCCCTGAGTCTTCGGAGAAGGGCGGCATATAAATCAAATTAAAAAAAAAAGATAAAGAAGTAGGGGAAAAGAATATTATGGCTGAAATTGAGATATTTAAATTATACTTTGAAAAAACAAAAAGGAAGATTGGAATAGATTATAAAAATCAATCTATAACTATGTTATAAGAAGTATAAGATGTGACCCGATCAACACTTTGTTCATAAAACTTGTTTTAAAAAAATTAAATTAAATGGATGGAGAAAAATGCAACTGAAGCCACTAAATGGATGCTAACCTCAGAAATTCTAGAATCTTGTGCACATCTCCTAGAAAGGAAACCTCAAAGATAATATTTAGATGGGTTTGAAACTTCAGTTCCCAACCTGAAAATAGTTCTCATTAATGGAACACTGCCTCATCCAGAAATCAGGCTATAAAGAATAAAAATGGTTTCATCAGTATTGTGTACAAGGCAAGACGGCATATAATAAGGGGTACAGAAAAAGTAAAAACTCTCCTTTTGAGGATCAAACTCACTGTCTAAGATGTTTGAAGGCCCTTTTAAAAGAAAAAAAAGTGCAGTAATGAAGAAGTCCTGGAACAAATTAATTCAATCAGTTAGGATGAAAGACACATTCCTTTTTTGGCATATCACTAGAGAAGTGGGAAAATCGCTCCCTCCCGCGACTAACCAAATACCACCTCATGCCTTGGAGGACTACTTTAGAGAGTTGTAGATGGACTGTCAGGTCCACCATCATGTCCTGCCATTCTTTTTTTATATATATAAAAAGGTTTTTTTTATTTTAATTTTTGAACTAACAATTCATTGTTAAGCAATCAGTGTGTCATCTGAGTACAATTTTTTTTGTATCATCATATTCAACATTTACCATCATTTTCTTAATACATATATATATTTGCTCTTATATTTTAATTTAATTTATTACAACATGTTCTTTCCAAATTTTTTAATTTTATACTGCTTTTTATCTATATTCAGTCTCTATCCACTGATAAAATTGCCCCCATATATTGTAAGACTCCAATTCTTCCTTCCCTTTAAGTGCCAATGTTAATCTATTCATTTCTGCACATTCTAATATTTTTTTAATTACCTCTCCCTTTGTAGGAATTTTTTCTACTTTCCAATTTTGTGCAAATACAATTCTCACTGCAGTTATTACATGTATGATCAAATATACGTTTTCTTTACTAAATTTCTCTGATAAGATACACAACAGGAACAGCTCTGGTTTTAAATCAATATGTTACTGTGTCATTTTCTCTAACCATGTTCGAATTTTTGCCCAATAATTTCTCGCTTCTGGACATGTCCACCACATATGATAATACAATCCCGGTGTCTGGTGGCATTTCTAACATTTAGTTGATTTATCTTTAAACATTTTTGCCAAACTTTCCGGTGACATGTGCCATCTATAAAACATGGTGATCATGTGACTGTGTGGGGGGCTTGGTAGTCATATAACTGGGTGGGCATGGATTGGTGGTCATGTGATGGGGAAAACCAACTATCACATTTTACACAAAAATAACACTAAAGCTACACAACTGACTCACACACAATGCAAAAGGAGCTGGACTTCACAAAAAATGGCACCTGCAACAAGCAGGAACCTCACAGAGTCACTGAGAGCTCAAAAGCAAACTATCACACTTTACACAAAAATACCGGTTCAGGTAATAAGTAATAAAAAAAAAAAATACTTAAAAAAAAAGAAGAAGAAGTTCCGAGGATTGCATGGCACAGCTGATTGTCAGAACTTTTTTTTTACTTTTTTAAAGCATTTTTTTTACTACCTATTCACCTGAACCAGTAGGGGAAAAAATGCTTTAAAAAAGTAAAGAAAATGTTCAGACGATCAGCTGTGCCACAAGATTGTTGGAACTTTTTTTTTTTAACTTTTTAAAGCATTTTTTACTACCGGTTCAGGCAAAACAGTAGCATTTTCACTACCAGTTCAGGTGAACCGCCCCAAACTGGTAGCATTTCACCTCTGAAATAGTGTAATGGGAGGGAAAAAAAGAAAAAGGGACAGATTTCCTACTCTCTTTAACACAGTAGAAGGTAACAACATTACAACCAAAACTTTT